TTTTTAACTGTTTTTTTGTTTTTTGTTTTTGTAACAAATGTTGGTTGTTGGTTTTTTTCACTTGTTTAGAGACCTTGTGGAGAAACAAGTGACTGTAAACATGGTAGAATATTAAAATATATTTTATATTTATGTTTTGCTGCGTGTATCATCAGTAACGTCATGGTTGTCTTAGTGGTTTTGACCTTTGACAAATAACATAATATAAAATATAAAGAGGCATACACACATAGCGGTAAGAATAAAAGTCATCCTGCCTGATGAATAATTTCAAGGCAACTTTTATTTTTTTTGAAAATGAGCACAAACAGAAACTTGGCAGCRGATTCAACACAACTTGAATTCACATTTCTAGTCCAGAGACCGTTTAAATGACGCGAGCGGCAGATCTGAGTTGAAACGAGAGCGTTTTGGACTGAATGAAGTGGCTTCACAGCAGCAGCCTCCTGTCGTAAATGTCAGACCTTGAATCAGCTCCAGCTCTTGTTAACTGTTTATCTGATGGAGCAATAATGGAGAGATAACTCACACCAACAGCCTCCCAGTCAATTATCTACTTAAAACTCAGCTCTGGAAAAACAGGCTTCGGCATATTGAAGAGCTTTAATACCTCAACTTTTCACCCAGTTTGGCTGAGAATTCTCACAAATTACAAGTTTGGGTCTTCTAATTATTCTGAGTGGTTAATTTAAAGTAATAATCCTCAAATGAGTAATTCCCATTCTAGGCCAGTRAGGATTAAATTGTTAATTAGACTTTAAATATATCAAAACCCGTATTTACCACAAAAGCCTTTAGTGCAACAAATTTTCATGAAACATCTTTATATTTTTCTTCTAAACAAACAAATTTTCTCGCCYTCTTTTAAACAAGTCTCGATCCGTGTTTCTTTTTAGAGGAGTGACTTTTAGCTGCTTCTTTCAGTCGTTTTTCTGCCCGGTTCTTGTACCTCAACGTGACAGAATAATATTCACTGTGTGCAGAAAACTGAGGAAAGTGGATGAGTGAGGGACAAAAGAGAACAGTCATGTCTTCAATAAATAATAAATAAATAAAAATATAAAAAGTCCAGCAAAGAGCTGAGAAATGTGTCGTCCTTTGGTTGCTGCTGTAAAACAATTTTTCAGTTGTTTAAACGTCTCGTTGTTGGTGCTGCAACAGTCTCTGTCTGTCAAACTGTTATTTTGGTATCTTTCATAGATTCTAGTAAAGAAGTTGGAACAAACTCTGTATTTTATTCATCCATCCATCCATCCATTTTCTTCCGCCTATCCGGGGTCGGGTCGCGGGGGCAGCAGC